ATGACGTATGCTGGTTGCACGTATGATGGAGTTTAATTGAGCGATTTGCCATTGTATTATAAAGACACAACATAAAGACATGATTGCTGAATTTGATGGAACTCACACTAAAAGATTTTGTGAAAAATGAACTCAAAACAGCCCGATGCCTTTTTTTACATTTTGTTTTTCACGTTCCCAATTCGGTCTCAGCAAGGATATCAATACACGGGTGTTGCCTATGAGACTAAAAAAATGATAGTAGTTGTACAGCACTTATCTGAAAGGGGTGGGATGTGAGAACTGTTCAATACCGACCGGATGGATTGCAGTGCGCTGTCGTCAGAAAAACTTTGAAGAAGTGAAATGATTTGGAACGAGTAGAAGAATGAGGAGAGGTTGTGCACATATTCAATTAAATTTTGTATTATTCCGATCTGGATCCGCTTACCTGTCCCTCGTCCCCGCCATCGGTATCCGAGTTTTTTTACCGAATTCATACAGTATGGAGCAATTTGTTTAATCGTATCTCCACGCATTTCGTTGTTGATTTCATACTTGAACAAGACCCCCCTCCTATTGCGAAATGTTAATTTGCCCTGGAGCATGTTTGTGGAGAGCGGGCGGGCGGGCAGACAGGTGGACGGGCGTGGGGTATTAACACATGGGGCTGGGATGGATTTTCGCCTTCTGTCACNACTATCCATCTTCGTTCGTGTTTTCCCGATCAGACTTTCACTGTGCATTGTGAGTACTCCAACCGCAAATGAGGGTCCGAAAACACAGACCACTATAGTCCTAGTTGCTTATGCCTGTCTACTTATTCATCTGTACTCTGGTCCTAACCATGTGCTCTTTACGGGCAGAATCCAGAACGTTCGCTTGTGAGTGTTGACATATCGTGGCGCCAGATTTCAAATAAAGTTTGGCCCACTTCTGGTTTGGTGCCCGTATTCCGTTGACATTCATTCATGNTTGATAAAGTGAGATATTTATATAGGTGTAAAGTGGACCAAGCCTCATGGCAAGTATGTATTCCTACTTTGGCGTTTCATAGTCACTCCCCCCACGCACATATGTTTCACCAAATCAGGTGGTTGGCTGGGGAAGATTGTCTATACGCCATATGCCTTCCGGTGAGTATCCGGACCATCCAGGGCAGATTAAGAGCTGTCTAGGATGATCTTCGGAACAACTTCATTCATTCGATGTGTACGGTACAACTAAAATTCATATTTGTCTGCGGTTATATCTCTCTCCGGTTAGCCTTCTCTCAGTCACCAAAACCGGTCGGATTCAAGACCCCGTACAAATCAGCGTAACTTGCTTGCAGGGGTTGACAGTTCATAAGAGAGAGAGAGAGAGAGAGAGAGAGAAAGAGAGCACGTCTCCCGTCATGTGGTTGGTTATACGCGTGGTTCAGGCCAGCACAAATTGTGCACGCGCCTCAGCCGCGTGCTTCGCGGACCGGACGCATAACAGGTACATGCACGTACGCACCTGGGGACACATACAGAGAGAGAGAGAGCAACGTGCGCATGTCGGATGAATGAACGCACTCATAACTTACGGGCTTTTCCAGATAACAATCTGACAAGGTGACCCGTTTCATTTTGCATTGTTCAATGTGTGTTCTGTCCCTGTCATGTTTACCAGCATATGGAGAGAGGGAGAGTAGTAATCTGGAGACCGAAGTGAGTAACAGGTAAAACATGGCCGGATCCAAGGTGGACGACCATGCACTCAGCTCGTCCCCGATGCGGTCGTAAGAGATTCTGGGGGGCTAAAGGAGTATGCTGAAGGAAGTAGAAAAGAAATCGTTGAAGTGACTAACTAAACGACCAGCTGGGAGTGGGTGGTCGGTAGCTTGCGTGTGTGTGAGAGAGAGAGGTTTGTGTGTGTAATTTCATGGGAAACAGAGTCCAGGTGCATCAGGAAAATTACGTCACAAGCTGACATCATTTCACTGTCCACAAGCTCTATCGATATACCATTCATATAGGTGTCTGTGTATGTGTGCAGTGAACAGGTGTCTTGGTTCCTTATCGGATCGCGTTCGATCGATAAGAGAAGAATTGAGATCAAAAATCAGTCACACGGTCTATACCCTCTCGCCCGATGTTTGCGATATCTTTCTTCCACTTCGCGTAAAACGCAAGCAACAATTGAACCTGCTAGCAATGCTCAGTGTAAAAATTGTCCCGGGAAAGAATTCTTCCTGTTTCACTCTTGCTGTAACCCGATTACATCAAACGTATACCGAACAACCAATTGATTAGCATTGCTTACTTTTTTTATCATCATCATCATCATGCATGCATGCATGACTGTAATTGCATAAGAACAAAGTATTGATAATTATAATAGTAATAATAACTAACTCATTTTCTCCAATTCCCTCTTTCTCTCTCCCTTTCATTTGACCCATGCGCCCATCCACGGACAACAGATACAACGACCGATTTCCATGAAAAAGGATGGAATTCAAACCCGGAATCGTAAAGTATCACAGAAAACGAAGAAACACAAATTCGGTTTCTACACAGATTTGGCTGATTTGCATGTGGACTATTTGATGAAAACCCCATTGCATCGATTTAACGCAGCAGCTGCTGCGGCAGCCGCAGCGGCTGCCAACCGTTTCGGTTATATGGCACCCGGTCTATCTGGGGTCTCACCTAATTCGATGTCTATGCATCCGGGTCCGTACGGACACGGTTACGGTGGCCCGGAAATGAGCCTGTTACATTCAACCGGTCCCAATGGACATCACACAGGGATCGGGATTGGAATGGGCACGAACGGGACACCGGAGCATAACACTCCATCCTCGTCAACTGGAAATCCTGGGGATTTGTCCACAGCAGCGGCTGCTGCTTCCATGTTGGCTATGAGTCAGACGTTTGCAAATGGACCTCCAACATATGGTTCCCATGGTTTCTTGAATTCCCGCATGGAGGATTATCTGACAGAGAATGAAACCAAACCAGCCAGTAATTACATTGGTTTGGGTTGCTCAAATGTGATGGATGAGAGCGAGTCGAGATCTGGTGGGTTTTTCCGCAATACCAATTCACCCGGACCACCGCTATCGTTGGGTTCGAACTCGGTAACGCATCCACAACAGCAACAGCAACAACCTAATCAAACAGCACAACAGCATGACATGTGGCCTGGTCGTTCGAGTCGTGGCCCAATGGATGATCCCCTGAATCCGCTGTCCAATTTTCCCTCGTCCATGTTCTATCCTAGCGCACACCAAATGGCACTTCTGGGCTGTGCCTCCCAAAACTACTATCATCCATCCAATCAGCTCATGCAATCCAGCCCGTCAAAACTAATTCGCAGTCCGACACAGACTGAGTCTAAACTGACCGATTCTCCGGGGCTAGATCCACGTCTGCCGTTTCACAAAACACAATTCCCAGTCCCCGCCTCAATGCTCTACGGTTCCGGATACGGTGGCGCAATGCTACACCAGTCCGGGCATCAGATAACCGGAAATAGTAGCATCAGCAATAACCGCAGTAGCGGTAACAAAGATGATAACCCAACAAACCATGGTCTGCAACCACAACCACAACCACAACCATCATTACTGAATATTCAATCCGCATTGCCGGATACACACGTGTGTGATAGTGCACGAAGTGCGAGTACAAGTAGCGGAACGGATACACCTCGTTCGGTAAACGGTCTGCCCAGTTCCGATCAGACCATGTTAGCACCGGATTCCGGTGAATCACATAGTTACACCTCGACCGGGGCCGGTTGAACACACTTTTCCAAATGACAGAGTGTTTTTTGTCTCTCTCAGTTCATCTTCCACGTCTTCGCTTGTGTGCGTGTGTGTGGCTATTCCGTTTCCTGTTGGCCAGCGGGACATACATCAAGTGTTACATCATATTCACTCTCAAAGACGTATCTTTGTATCATTGAATGCACGCAGATAAATACACACACACGCACATACACACTACCTCAAGGTGGTTGTTATGTGACTGAGTCTGGGCTGTTTATTATAACGATCGAGGTAATATTGGCTTGTATGTATGGGGCCAAATGGAGACGTGTTGTGAGTTTCTGGTGTATAAGGTCGCACATGGATCGACAGATGGATTCAACAGCCTCATCATCATCATCATCATCATCATCATCATCATCATCATCATCATCATTTTCAGCATGAGCATACTCATCCTCCGCAGCATCAGCATCATCAACTCGATCATCACCATTTGACTTTATTCGACCGATGCTTTTTCCCCGACGGAACACACACAACAAATACCTCCGAATGTGGTCGTCATTGCTTTCTCTTTCTGTTCCGGTATCCATAGCCACTACCACAGATAGCCTCCGAGGCCTCCGCTGTGGCTGACACCCGGGCTCCAACTCCTATTATCTTGTTTACAACAACAATAACAACAACAACAGCAGC